TATATACTCTCTGTGCTGGTTCTGTCATCCGCACGTGGGGACCTGCTCGTGCACAATGGACTGTGGCCGGCAGACACCCGGAACTCTACATCCAAGAGGGACGGCAGACAAAGCTAATGGCTTTAAATCAACAGTATACAAGCCAAACCATCGTGATAACAATGTAAAACATCGGGATATGTGACGTACGCTCAGACCGCCGCGGCGGCAAGAGTATGACTGTGAATCAAATATACCAGAGGTAAGAAAGCCTTTTAACCGACAGGGAATACAGCCCAGCTTATAGTTGACCGCAAGCATCGTAGTAACTAGGGAAAGTATATTCATCGCCATGGCCGTAACGGATAGTACCACTATATGATAGATATGCATACGCTATGCATCGGCTGGTATATAAATGATCTATTTGAATTAAATTCTAATCCACCACTATATGATAGTTATGCATATGCTATTCATTGGCTGTTATACAAATGACCCTACATCTGAATTGAATTCTAATCCAACCTATGGATGGCATATATCCACTGAATTGGAATACAAATTTAATTGTTTTGTGCGATTAAGCAATCAGTATGTTTATTTTTATACGTCGCGTGTGTAAGCATTACTTGTCATGCGTGTGCCAACTGTCGCTAACACCTCCCCGCAGTACATTCCTCAGTGCTCACAGATCACATGCGAGCGACTCTCCAACTGACTCTGTATGGGCTGGTTGTCTGTTGTGCACACTATGAACAGCAGGCGATCCTTCCGAATGAGAATACGATGTGTCTTGCTGTTTTCTGACTCCAATAGTTCCCGGATCATGAACTGACCCAATACACTCACGTAGGCCACCACCAGCACGTACTCGTCCGTTCTGATGCGAAGAAGAGCACAGCAGGATACAGGGGGTGAGTATGTGAGAAGGTGAGAAAACACGGATTGTATGGATATGTTACCTTACAATCAAACACCCACAGTCACAGTAACAGCCACACCCATAGCCACAGCCACAGCCACAGTCACATACACAGCCACATACACAGCCACATACACACACACATTATATATATATATATATATATAATAAATGTCTATATACATAATGTA